TTGCCTATCCTTAGGCATAGGGACCACTGGGATCTGCCACATCTCGTTGTAGACATCCCTGTCCTCATGAAGGTCCCAAAGAACCCGATCGTCAAGCCTTGCGGTGTAGGTCTTGGCTCCCTTCGAGTTAGTGTCCATGCCGGCCTTTGCCAACCGCCGCACGGAAATCAGGTTTGCAGCAAGGCTGGGCACCCAAAGCACGTTCTTGAGGCCCATCATCTTCCCATCAGCACCCTTGAACATGGCCTTCCCCATGCCTTTCACCTCTGCTCGCTGCCCCAAAGCCGATGTGACATGCTTCACCGGTGACGGCTCGAGTTCGGTGAGCAAGTCCGGGCGAGGTGTCATGCTATAGGTAGCGCCACTATCAATCACCCAATAGTCCAGGGGGTGTAGGGTCACCTTCCCCACAGCTGCTGGCTCCTCAAAGCCTTCATCCTTCTCTGGACCAGCCAGTGCTTGCGTCGACACGAAGTAGAATAGACCAGGGTATCGATCGTCGCTCGGGTCCTTGTCGTTGTCTCCGCTCTTCATGTTTGCAGCTCCGCCACCGCGACCGCCGCGGCCTCCACGGCCTCGTCCTCTCCCTCCTCCTGCTCCTCTACCCTCTTGGCCTTGAGCAGGGGTCCAACCATCAGGGAGCTTGTAGCAATTGCGCCACATATGCCCGCTCTTGTGGCAATAATGGCATTCGCCGTCGAATCGGCCGCGACCGCGCCCGTAGCTCTTGTCGTCGCTGCCGTAACCGCCACTCCCGCGGCCTCCGCCGAAGTTGCTGCCACCAAACCTTCCTCCCCCTCGTCCTCTGCCTCTTCCTCGGCCATATCCACGGCCGATGCTTGCTGCCCCAGCGCCATCCGCACTCGCCATCTCACGGCAGCAGAAATCCTCTTGAAGGATAGCTCGCTTCACGTCTTCGAGCAAGAGGTGGGGCAAGTCGCGATTCAGGTTGATGATGAGCAAGGACCATGATTCGGGGAGTAGGGCCAGCAACTTGGTCTTCTTTTGGAGCTCACTGTAGTTCAAATCCGCTCCCTCAAGCCGCGTCAACAAGTCGAAGAATTTCTGCACCCCTTCTTCAACCGCTTCATCCTCTTCAATTCGTAACGTCGCCATTTGCCGTTCCAACACCACAGCTACCGCCGCTGTTGCAGGAGTGTGTACACCCTTGAGAGCAGCCCATGCTTTTGGTCCCTTCTCTGGTTCACGCTGGAAAGGCTTGATGTGACGGATTTGGCTGCTCCCCAACGCTTGCCCAAGTAGGAGGTAGCCTTGTGCGCTCTTCCGCACCCACGGGCTCTTCTCCGGGTCGTTCTCGGGACGCTTCTCCGTTCCTTCCATCACCTCCAGCAGGTCATAGTGGTCAAATATGTTCTCCATTCTGAAGGACCACTCAGCAAAGTTGTCACCATTGAACTTGTCAAGGCCAAACACTCTAGGCTCATCCCTAGATGGGCCAACACTTGGTTGCACGGGTGCCATGGCTGAGTCACGGGGTTGGCCTTGAGCTTGGGCTTCTCCTTTACCACCAGCACCTCTGCCACCCCTTTCCTCATGTCCAGCCATTGTCGAAACTGCTCTAAGGGGCTCTGATACCACTTGTTATAGTCACAATAGGCTCCAATGTGCCTAAAACGAAAGATAGAGTGCACAGTCGGATTTCTGCACAGTGGCTTCAAACGTTCATAGCGTTCTGGTCACAGCTTTAAATGACTTGATTCAACTTGGATCTGGCGCGTCGTATTGTCGCCTACAATATGCAATTTAGATCGCACGATTTCATCAAGTATTGACGACACAACGTCAGTTTGAACGAACGGCACTATGGCAGCCACTATAGTCTTAGAACACAAGATAGGAAGAGTTAGGGAGAGTTACGAGTTGGGAATGACTCCCAGCTCCTACAAACCCCAAGAGCCAAGGTACAGTGATGTGAAACAGTGCCACACTGTCCCCAACCACGAAGGGTCTCGAAACAACCCTTCACTAGGGCCTACACCAAGTGAAATGTTACACTACACAAAGTAATGAAACTATCTTCAATATCTTGAGGTGTACCCTTTTGGCGAGCTTCGAAATCACTTGAGGCTTGACACCAAGGCTCGGGCTCTTCATCACAAACTCATCCTTGAGTTCTTGATGGGTCTGCTGCACACACCTGCGACACACCGAACGTTCGACACAGGACAAAATAGAAACCGCGCACGACAAAATAGAAACCGCGCGCGAGACACAAACGACCGCGTAACACGCGTCTAGCGATAACTCGCTATTGACTCAACACACACACTCGACATCATGACTCAACATTCACACACAATTATAAGCATGAAATATATATTATCACATGCCCTCATACCATTCCATACACACACACATGCATGCACACGGACAACAAGCCGAGTGCAAACCATAGGGTTGCACCAACAAACTCCCCCTCGGATTGTTGGCCTTAGGATATGTTGCTCTCTCAGTTCAAAGCCATCCCAGCCAGCTAGCAACACTTCCAATGCTGCTGCTCCACCAGCCTCCTGGTCATCATGTCAGCCGGCTGCCCCGTGGTCTTCACGTAGTGCAACTCAACTTCACCCGCGATTACCATGCTCCTCGTCCAATGCCACTTCACCCTCATGTGCTTCGTGAGTCCATGCAACACAGGGTTCTTAGCAAGAGCAATGGCACCCTAGCTGACACAGTACAGTGGGGTAGGTCCTTGCTGCTCCTCCCCCAATTCAGCCAACAAACGCCGCTGCCACACAATCTCCCGTACGGCACGGAAGAGTGTCATGTACTCGGACTCCACCGAGCTCAAAGCTTGGTCAACCTGCTTCTTGCTCTCCCAAGCAGTTGGGCCTCCACCAACACAGCATATGAAGCCTCCCACACTTGTCATGTCCTCTGGTTCTGATGCATATGAAGCATCCGAGTAGGCGGTGAGGTACAAACGCCCGGGTTCAACAACATCCGCGCCCTTTTGGCGCCTTTGTGCCGCCGTCGACTATTGCAGCCCAACGGTCGGTGTTTGGCCAAGATACTTGGCCACCCTCATTCCAGCTGCTACCTGCTCCTCATTAGGGCATTGCACAACCCTAGCCAGCTGCCCGGTAGCAAACGCGACGTCCGGTCGGGTGTTTACCGCCGCATACATGAGGCGGCCCACCAACGAGTGAAATCGGCGCCTCTCCTCTTCACAAACGCTCTCCTCCTCCGGTCCCTTCACACACTTGAACCCAGAGGGAAAGGGAGTAGCCACATGACCTTCACTCTGGCCAAAGTTGGCAGCCAACGCCTCCAGGTACTTCCGTTGGTGCACTCGCATGCTCCGCTTCTCCACGTCTCATTTGATGTGGAGCCCAAGGTAGAAGTTCACGTCACCAAGGGACTTGCACTTGAACTTATCATGCAGCTTCAGCATCACCTCCTTCACAAGGTCAGAGGAGGGTGAGAATATGAGAATGTCATCCACATAAACCACCATGAAGCTCCTCTGCTCCCCCTCGCCAAGCATGAACAAGGAGTGATCGGCCGTTGAGGGAGTGAAGCCGATCTCCTCCAACACTTCGCGCAGCTTCATGTACCATTGCCTAGGGGCCTGCTTCAGCCCATAGAGGGCCTTCTTCAGCTTCCACACTCTGCCACTACCATCATCAAACCCCTCTGGCTGCGCCATAAAAATCTTCTCTTCAAGGATGCCGTTAAGGAATGCCGTCACAATGTCCATTTGCTTCACCGCCCATCCTTTGATGGCGGCTCCCGCGAATAGGGTTCGCAGCGTCGTCGGCTTCACCACAGGGGCAAACAGCTCCTTGAAGTCCACCTTCTCCTTCTGCTGGTACCCCTTGGCTACAAGCCTAGACTTGTAGCGCTCGATCTTGCCGTCGGCATCCGACTTGATTTCGAAGAGCCACTTGGACATTATCGCCGTACGCCCCTCCGGTAGCTCCACCAATTCAAACGTGTCATTCTCCTCGATGCTCTTCAGCTCACTCTCCATGGTCTTCTTCCACTCCTCAGCATCACTACTCTCCAAAGCCTCCTTGAGAGTTGCTGGTTCTCCCGGCATCTCCACCGGAGAGAAGAACGCGAAGGCACACTCCTCGTAGTCACTCTCCTCGTCGTCTCCGACCATCATTGCCGCTCCGGCCAGGGCTGTCTTGCCTTGCTTTCCAAGTGCATCATAGGTCAGCCTATTAGGGGGTTGAACTCTCCTCTTCCCCCTTCCTTCCTCCTCAGCTGCAGGGACTTGAAGGCCTTGGCGTTGCTGCGGTGTGGCTCCAATCCGTGGAGCATTCGTGGTACGGGAAGGGAGTGACGGTGCACGCTCGCTCACCTGCTGCACCTCCTCCTCTTCTTCCTCTGCATCATTGGCCTCCTCTCCCCCATTCACAAGGGAGGATTGCCTCGTGGTTGTGCTGCCGCTGCTCAGCTCCAAAGGCAGCTTCACATGCTCCAAACCTCGGGGTTTCTAATGAGAGGATGACCTGGATTTAAGTGTGAGCACTATCGGCCAGATCCGATAAACATTCAAAAAGAAGGGTTGCTTAGGCATGCTAGGCTGCTAGGGAAACTACATAAGCGACAGTGAAAAGGTGAGAAAGGAGTTGTTGGATGCCCTGACGCTTGCTGAGGATAAGGGGAAGGAAGATGGGGCAACCGCCATGCAAGGGGTTTCGAAAGTAATGGCAGCTGTTCCGTGGGAGATTATGCATGAGGACCTGATCCCAAGCAACCTAGTCTTCCAGGTCCCGCAATGCGACGTACACCTACACAAACATCGCTTAACCGCCATAGTCGATTTCGGTGCATCCCAGATGGCTCTTTCGCACGTCATAGCTAGGAAGTTAGGGCTGCTACCTTACCTCCAAGATACTGCAATAGAGTATATCACCTCTAAAGGTGAGGCGTCAAAGCAGTGGGGTATTCTTCCTGACATACTTGTGCGGGTGGGGAAGCTGACCCTCCCAATCAACATAGCAGAGACCGGGGTGAATACCTATGACATGCTGCTAGGACAGTACTGGATCTACTTGGCTAATGCGGATATCCTGACCAGCAAGGGCCAGATAGTGTACCGAGTCAATACCAAAGAGACAGATTCGGTCCCTATCACCACTGGACCCGTGGGTACGGATAGTCGCCCCTCCTATGTGTCCCTCCCGCCCCAAACACCCCGCAGGAATGAACATAAGCCTTCTCAGCACTGGCTCGGTATGGACGAGGAGGACTTCCAGAGGTGGTTGGAGAAGAAGCAGCTCCTCCTGGCCAAAGAGCAGGGGCGTATCCGACTGACGGAGGAGGAGGCGGACTATTGGGCGTGGGTACAAGAGGAAGAGGAGTTGGATCGGGCGGAGCTGGAAGCACTAGAACTCAAGGAGCGTGAGTTCTATGAGGAGCTCGGGGCAGACGGGCTCGATGATATACCCGAAGGAGGTGAGCCAGAAGGGGAAGCCGGGGCAGATAACGATATGCCTAGCCTTTTTGAGTCAGACGGGAAACATTACTCTGACCTTGGCGCAACAGGTATGGACGAAGAGGCTGGGGAACTACAATGGGACATGGGGTATGAGGAGGCCAGGAAGGCTGCGGAGGCAAAAGGGGAAATCATGGATCAATGGGAAGAGTATTCAATGACGGACGGGGAAGAATACGTGGTGGATGTCAAGGAGGAAGGGAAGCTTGCATACGAGGGAAAGGAGCACCGGAAAAAATTGGATTACCTGTTCGAGCTATTCAACTACCCGGCAGCCGGCAGCTGAACGATGGCAATACATAGCTGCTGCAAAGGGGGATGAGGGCCGGATAGTTTTCGGCAGTTAATATGGCCTAATAAAGGAAGCTCCTCGAGTTGTCTGCCCTGCCTTCGAGGACTTGCTGGTGTCGCTCAACCACGAACTGGGGACAGACCTGTAGACGGACCTGAGGAAACCGCTGGTAGAATATCGAGAGGTCATTGCTACAGAAGCAGAACCGCTAGGGACCCACCCCACCGTCCTCCATCATATTTCCATCGGTGTCAGACAAACCCATCTCCCACAAACCATAACGTGTCCCCCCCTCTAAACGAGCTCGGATAGAAGAGGAGGTAGAGGGCCTCTTAGAGCAAGGAGTGATCCAACCCTCCAACAGCCCCTGGGCCTCCGACTGCGTTGTCATCTCGAAAAAGGAGTTCGGTGATCGAGTAGTGATCGATTACCGACCCCTCAACGTAGTGACAAAAGCATCGGACCAGCTTTCTATGCCGAGGATCAATGACATCCTCGACCGAAGGACAGGGTCCCTGTACTTCTCCATCCTCGATGCCAGGTCGGCCTACCATACCATCAGGGTGGCCGAGGAGGACATCCCTAAGACCGCATTCAAGACCTCCTTATGCCAGTATGAGTATGTGAGGATGCCTTTTGGTCTGAAAAATATCCCTGCCACTTTCCAATGCCTCATGACCACCACTTTCCACACCTACGTTAACGTCATCCCCTATCCCGATGATATCATAGTGTTTTCCAAAAGTTGGGAGGAGCACCTGGAGCATCTGCGAGAAATTTTTCAAACGGGTAAAGGCCAACCACTTGCTCCTCAAGCCTAACAAATGCGAACTAGGGTTTGTCAGAATGTTATCTTTGTTCTCTAGCCTGCAGTGGGGTACTCTATAGCGAGTACAACCCCTTAGGGTTTCCTATATGTATCCTGTTGCTTGCTAGTGCAACCCCCTCTTTTGCCTAAACTATTATTGCCTAGCTAGGAAAGGCCTAGCTATGGCTCCTACTTCTAATCACTCCTTTTCACATGGTTATCAGAGCAGTAAGCTCCTGGCCTGTGGGCCCCACCACACTCCTTCCGCTGCAACTGCTACTCTCCCTTTCCGCCGTGCGCCCCAAGGCGCGTGGCGGTTTTCTGTCCGCCATGCGCCCCGAGGTGCGCGGCAGTTCTCTTCCCACCGTGCGCCCCAAGGCGCGCGGCGGGTTACTGCCCCGTCACGCCGCGCGCCACTCCCGGGAGGCGCTGCGACGGGCGACGGGGACCTCCGCGTCGCCCCCCGTCGCCCGTCGTAGCCTGAGCGTGGCCCGTACAGCCTGCGCGCGGCACGTACGGGCCGCGCCAGACCCGTCCGCGGCCCGTGCGGGCTGCGCCAGGCCCGCGCGCGGCCCGTACGGGCTGCGCCAGGCCCGCGCGCGGCCTGTACGGGCTGCGCCAGGCCCGCGCGCGGCTCGGGCTGCCTGCACGCGGTTCGGGCGGCTGTGCCAGGCCCGTGGGCGGCCCTTTCCTTGCTGCCCCTGCCCTCCCCGCTGTCCCCTGTGCTTCTACTGGCGCCCCACCCCTCCTACACCCCGTTCTCCTGAATTAGGGTTTGGGGGTGAGGGGTATGGGGGTGAAGCCACTGTGTGCTGTTCCCTGCTCCTCCTCCTCCTCCGTCTCCCTGTGCTGCAGCTGCCGCTGAGGGGGGGTGGACCTGTTGGAGCCGTCGGAGTGGTACTAAGGGGGGTGAAGGGGGAGTGGAGCTAGGGGTGAAGCAGTGGGTGTGTGTCAAGGGGGGTGGGACTGTTTGGGGAGGTTGATCGGAGGTTGCCGTCGTGTCGCCAGCAGCACCTGTAGTCTGGGGAGTTGCTCCGATAGCCCAGTAGTAGCCACCTGTGCCAGTCGCCTCCACGATCTACTTCGGGCACATCGTGACACGGGATGGGGTGAAGCCGGATGCTGGAAAGGTGGAGTGGATCAGTAACATGTCGGCGCCGGTGGATGTGAAAAGGGTCCCGGAGTTCGTGGGGTGCACTAGTTACTACCGGCGATTCATCAAGGGGTATGCGAAGGTGGCGCATCCTCTCACGCAGCTGCTGTACAAGGACCGTCCGTTTGAGTGGACAGATGAATAAGAGAAGACATTCAATGCCCTCGAATTGGCTCTAATCTCCACCCATCCTTGCATTCCCAGATTTTTCTGAGCCCTTTATCCTCCTGACGGACTTTTCTGCTACGGCCTTAGGGGCCATCCTAGCTCAAAAGGATGGAAAGGGAGCGGAATGACTGGTGGCGTACGCTAGCCGTACAACAAGGGAGGCGGAGAAGAACCTGTCGTCCACCCACGGGGGTTGCTTGGCAGTAGTATGGGCCATCAAACATTTCCGCCCTTACCTCTATGGGAGCTGATTCCTGCTGCAGACCGACCACAAAGCCCTCCAATGGCTAATGACGGCCAAGGACTTAACGGTTGAGTTGGCCAGGTGGAGTCTACTACTTCAGGAGTATGACTTTACCATCTCCTACCGGCCTGGGGAGACACCACGGAATGTGGATGCACTTAGTCGCATGCACCAGGGGCTGCATCAACAGTCCGTGGGAAAGGCACGTTCATATGCACACTCACCTTCCCTGTCCCCCATCTCAAAAGCCATCCCCATGTTCACAAATCTGTTCCCACGATCACCCCCACCACCACCAGCTAGGAAAGCAAGCAGCAGCTCGGTTGATGGGGAAGGGGAAGGAGGGGATAGTGGTGAGGAGGAAGAAGGAGAACGCGTGGATGTCCGCGAGCCGGAGGAGATGAGTAGCAATACGGAGAAGCGGGAAGGGGAAGAGGAAGGAGACGTCGTACAAGCCGGGTCCGAAGGGTCCAAGGAAGGAGATGGTGATGAGGAATCAAGAGAAGAAGGCGATGAAGCGGAGGGATCCAAGGATGAAGACGGCGAGGACGAGGGAGAAGAGGAGGAGTCGGGAGAGGGAGATGAGGAGATGGTGGCCCCGGGGGTAGAACGGCAAGAGAATGACCCAGAAGGGCCCAAGGAGAGGACGCCGTCACCGCCAATGACGCAACCTCTTAAAAAAGGTCATACGGGAAAGGGGGGAAGAAAAGGAGGAAGCCGGGCCCTCGAAGGAGGATGGGGTTCAGGCAAGGGAAGCAGTCGTGGCCTCAAAAGGGGATGGAAAGTGGGCAGAATGAGTTGGACCCTCACACGGAGCCAAGGGCGGAGAGCAGCCGGGTAAAAGCCTCGCATACGAGACGACCACGCTATTTATATGGGACGACCTCAATACCCTTTTTTACATGGAGTACGAGGAAGTTGATCTAGCGTGGACTACGGCGGAGAAGCGGAGAGTGCGGGCCTGAGGGAAGAAGTGCGAATCGCGGAATGGGGTGCTGTGGAACCTAAAGGCAACGGGGGATAAAAATTCAGTGCCTAAGAAGGAAGAGAGGGGGGAAATCATTAGCTTCGTTCACGGGCTGGGGCACCTTGCAGCACTTCCATGGGGAGTTCAAGGTGCTGCTAGAAAATTTCGGGATCTACCACGAATTCTCTCGCCCCAATCATCCTCGGAGCTCGGGGCTCATCGAGAGGTTCCAGCGGACACTGAAAGGGGCATTGGTTAGGCTGGAGGAGACCAACCCGTTTGAATGGGATGAGAATATCTGGGTAGTCCTGTTGGGGTACCGGGCCTCTAACCATTCCTCCACAAATTTCTCCCCATTTTTCCTACTCTATGGTCGCCATCCCAACATCTCGGGTAGCACCTTGATGGAATGGGAGCTGAAAGAGCTGGCCGAGCTATCCACCGTGGAGGAAGCGGATGCAGCAGCCGGGTATATCTATGAACGGTCCTCGGAGATGGAGCTGGCTTTGGCAAAGGCAGCTGAGAATCATGATAAGGCACAGGAGAAGCAGAATGTCGACTTTGACCGGCGTTGAACCATCCTGGAGTCGATCACGATAGGGGATTTCATCGGGGATTGCCAACCAAGCAGGTGGCATGGGCAGACCGGGACCGGAAATACAAAACGCTCTTCCGAGTCAAGGAGGTAGAAGCGTTTCATGTGACCGTGGAGGCCAAAGGGGGAGTGGTATGGCGGGAGTCTCGGGAAAACGTGAAAGTGGTGCAGGTGACCCTGTGATTCTGACTCACCCCAACCCCTCCTAGGGGCAAAAACGCACCCCTCCACCTTCTGACCACTTCTCCCTTGTGTCAGGAGCCACAAGACCGCATCTGAGAAGGTTACAGTAGCATACCTTATTGTCTTATAACTTCGCTTGCGTCCATCATTCGTCACTTCAGAGCGCCCCTGATATCACTGGGGGTTGCTATCACAAGGATCCTCAGTGACATTTTTGCACGAACGTCCTCATGCTATTGGCGTGCCAGTTTTCATTAGCAACGTGTATCTTAAGTTAGCAATGTTCATGACCACGAAGTGTGTGGTTTATGAACCATAGGATTCAAGTTACTGTTTTTTCGAACCCCGCTCTCCAGCATACGGAATTTCCCAATGGTTTTTAAAGTCCCACAAGGGTTATGTTCGAAATGATAAACACACAATTTATACTAATCTCAAGCACAATTGAGAAAGTAACCCAAACGTGTCCCACATTCCTTATTTTACATCAAGCCGCACACACAATGAACCTTCTTTTCTTTAACTCTCCTTAAGTCCGAAATTCGGTGCCTTGTGGACCACGCTATGTTTCAACCCCCAACTTATCTCCTGTCAAACCTAATATCCCCTTCTATACATTTATTCCTCCATTTCGACATCTTCTCCCCTGCTTCTTTTCTGATTCCATCACCGTAGTCCACACGGCATGCCACATATTAGTTTTTTCCCTCTTTTGTTTCTCATTTTCTATACGCCACCGACTAATAGCATCCGCCGTCAGTCAATCTATCAGGGTGGTTCCATGACCAACTCCAACAATCTCCCATGTAGTTCGTGAACCATACACTCCTCCGTACTACTCATCTTCTCCTCTACTCCTTGCAGACTAATTCGGCTTCATACTCTCTTACAACTTGAACCTCTGCTTACGAGTTTTAAGATTTGTGGCACTAAACCATCATATATTTTCTTCAGTCTCACGCTCCTTCTTTGTGAGCTGAACCACAATCACCTGATGAAGTTAATTGACATCATCGTGTGCCTCCTCCTGAAGCAAATGCCCTTTTGCAGTTGCAATTGTCTTAGATCCTTTCACCATAAAGTTCCCATTTGCAGTTTCACGTCCACCATACATTGCACTCATTACATCATCATCAAATCCATATTTTGCTACAAAAATGGTGATACTCGTACCTCCATACACAGCTATCTGTTGTATGGGTGTCATCCTTCACCCTTACACAACTGTCTACCTAATCAAGTTTACCTTCAAGTCCTCAACCAACATGCTCTCTTCAACTCCATTTTTACATTAGGACTCTTCACCACCACTTCACCCTGTCCCGTAACATATAGTTTCTCGTTGTTACCATCCAGAATGTAGCTCTCACTAGACTCTCTTATATTCTTCATCAAGTATGACATGAAAGTCATATGACAAATGCATCTGCTGTAAAAAAACAATGACGCACTCTTACGTCCATCCGTCCGCTCATTCTTATTTGGCACCCATACCACGTCCGTTCGATGCCCTCCTCCAAGGACCACATCCTCTTTTGCTTCTGCCACGCTTGCCTTTGCAACCGCGTCTTCTCTGCTGGGACAGTCCCTTGTAGCTTTTGCTATTCGCGTTGGAGTAGCATTCTGTGGCACGATGTCCGTAACGTCCGCAATAGTCACACTTGCTGCCATATCCTCATTTCTGCTGCAACTCCGCTCCCTAGTTCTCGCCGTTATTGTTCTCCCGTATTTTTCTCTTTGTAGTTTTTTCTCCTCGGATTCTCATAGCATTTAATTGCCTTATGACCCCGCTTTCCATACTGGTAGCGCGCTCCAAGGACCCTCGTCGCCGCCACATTCATCATAGCAGGCCTCTCCGGCTCCATGCCCTTGGCAAATTTCTCCTTTCGCTTCTGATCCTCTCGTGCTCGCTCCAACGGCTGAAACATAGCAATACGTTTCGTCATGTTTTCATGTGGGTGGCAGATCAATGACGCTCTCACCCAACAAATCCTCTAGTATTCTTTTGACGATGTGCGCTATCATCGCCCGTTCACTTTCCGCCTCGCCCATCGTAGCTAGGTCATTTTTGTAGCTCCTAGTCATGTTGTCATAGTCGATGTTCAGTTGGTTGGGCTCCATGGTCATCAACAGCAGCTTCTTCCTCACATCGGCTATGTTCTTGTCCATGTGTCCGAGATAGGTTGACTCCATGTACACTCATGCCATTTGTGCAAAGTTCTCGAGCTCTGCAAAGTCATTCATACTCATGGCAATCCCGTCAGCAATGAAGTGACATAACTTAAAAAACGCTTGCTTACTCCTTTTCTTGTATTGCACTGTTTCTACATCCCATTTCGCTGCGCACTTGTCTGTGTCTCCTTTCCTGTCCAATCGATAGTATTCCCAAAAACCGACGCCCTTTGCCTTCCTTATGAACTTCAAATGCCACGTGCTGTAGTGCTGTCCGTGAAAGCGTTGAGCTTCACTCAGCCCGATCGTCGGCTTCATCACCAATCGGCTGCTCACAAGGGCCTCGAGAAAGGGCTTCACTTGCGGGTCTCCTATGCTCATGCTGGAACCCGAACTTGCCTCGTCCGCCATGGCATAGGCTTAAGCAGCTCTTCCTTTCCACCAGTTCCAAGTAAATCGACGACAAACAACGCGCCCGTTCGCCTTATCCCTCATATATCTTTCTTCCGCGATTCTTGTTCTTCATTAAGTTGGCAGTTAAAAGGACGGAACGCTGTGTTAAAAAGAGCAGACAACATTCAAAAGTTGCCTGTCTAGATGGTTAAAAAACCGGTAGGTTACATTATACTAGCATAGCTTCAGTTTTTGTCAGGCTCAATGAATCATCATATTAGACGATGTGTGTATTGTTTAAGCGCATCGCTTGCATCCATGATTTTCCACTTGAGAGCACCCCTGATACCGCTGGGAGATGTTGTCACAATGATCCATTAGTTAGTGAAGACATTATTGGATGAACATCCTCATGCTACAGACGTGCAAGTTTTCATTGGCAACATCTATCTTGAGTCAGCAATGTCCATAACAACAATGTCTTTAAGACGGAGGAGTGGGTGGTTCACAAACAACATGGTTCAGGTTACAATATCTTTGAACCCTGCTCTCCAACTTATAAAATGTCCCAATGGTTTTGGAAGTGGGGACTGCACCGATTGTTGAGGTGAAGCCGGCATCCCGGCACGCTTTCAAGGTGACAGGGGCGGAACGTGCAGCATGCAAAGGTGCAGACGATATGCTACCTGTCCCTGACCTCATGCGAATCTTATATTTCTTAGAAAGCTGGCCAAGTGCAGGGTCAGCACCTCCACCGATGATTTCTTTGCTTTGCTGAATGTTCTGAAACTTGCAAGGCATCCGGCACGCTTTGAACACGATGGTTGTTAAGTGTGCGGAGATAACTTCAGCAACGGGAGCTAGACTACGGGCTAGGCACGGGGCTCGTGTGATCTCTGCGTTCCTTAGTCGTTTGCTTGTGTGTTCTCTGCTTGCACATTCTCGGGGAGATTTTGCAAGAGTTTCACTAGCAAAGATTGACAACAATGGTTGCAACAACATTGGCATCACAGACTACATCAAAGCTAGCTAGGCTGCTGGTCGACCGCGCTCCAGCACAGCAACGCTCGCACCGCTCCGGCGTTGCATAGTAGTGGTTCGCCAACGTTGCAAGTCCACAATGTGCCAACGCTGCAGCAAGTCGGCTGCACAGCGTTGCACTCGCAGGACAACAGTGCATCTGCTTCGCAGGTGCGTGCAGCTGGTTGCCACTCTACACCTTGTCACAAGCACAGCGCAAACGCCTGGCAGACTCCACGCCAGCGACTACACCCACCAACCACTTCAACCTCGGGATACCACCCCCGAGGTCGGCCACGCAGACTCCACCCTGGCGACACTCGCGCACGTCGCCCGGGTATCCCGGTCGACCGAGCAACCACGCCTGGTCGACCAGCGCATTCCGTAGCCGGCCACACATGCTCCGCGTCCCCACTCCGGCGACCAGGTGCCCAGGTCAGCGTCCGGGCCCTCAGGACGCCCAAGTCGGCGTCTGGGCCCCCAGGACGCCGTGCAGACGCCCAGAGCGGCGTCCCAGGCTCCTAGGACGCCGTGCACACGCCTAGGTTGGCGTCTGGCCTTCTAGGACGCCGTCCAAGCGTCCAGGGCGCCAACCAGGCGTCCAGGACGGCGTCCTCTTGCTCGGCGCCCTCCAGCTAGGCGCCCTTCAGCTCGGCGCCCTCCTAGTGGCCCCCGTGCCCACCGCTGCAGGTCGGCTGCAACCCCTGCACATCCGACCACGAGGTCGGCTCCGCCCAAGCGAGGACGGGGCCAAACAACACTCCCGTTAACACTCCCCTGCCGCGTTCACGCTTGGGACCCCAGCCCACACGGCAGTACAGCTCCGAGAATAGCCCGTCGGAGGGCACCCAACACACAGCACACCGGTCACAGCACCAGCCATGCAAGAGGGCATGGCACCTACTGCTGCACGTCGTTGTCGCCGTCGCCCACAACGGTCAAGCGCACCTGGCTGATTGCGACGGAGCACCGGTTGAAGGCCGGGTAGTGCAGCGCCTTTGTCAAGAAGTCAGCTGGCTGCTCGGTGGTCGGGATGTACCTCAGCGAGAACTTCCCCCGCCTCACCATGTGCTGCAGCCAGGCCTGTCGCCGCTCCATGCGTTTGAGGTTGCCCGTAAACCCTATGCCCTCGGCCAACGTGATGGCCGACTTGTTGTCCACCCTCAAGAAAGTGGGCTTCCCGGCGTCCAGCTGCCGGAATTCTGCAAGGAG